ACAAAATATTTTGTCTCCTCGTTCTTCTTGCAATTGCCATACACTCCCCTAAATTGCGTGGTACAATGGATACAGTTGGTTTTAAACCTTACCCTTCAGCAATTGTGCCTCTACTGAGATAGACACAGACTGCCACAGTATTCTAACAACCCAAGCTAACATAAACTATTTTAAAGCCAAAATACCAATGGGACTAGAACAAACCATCACTTTATCAAAAGCGGTAAAGTGATAAACTGAGGAGCTTCTCTGAGTTCATAAGGATGGCGGCACACCCTAGCCATGCCTCAATTTCATGATGGATAAGGCTCAGAGAGGCACTAATCTCTATCTCCCTTCCCCCTGAGTTGGTTTCTATTAGGAATGAATCCTGAGTGCCTGATACAGAAAATAGATATACCAGGCCCTAGAAGCCTGAAATCTCCACGCCTTGATTAATTCACACTTATCCACACGTAAACTCAGTGTGAAAGCTGTCAGCACATTTTCCTTATTAGAATTCAAAAAAAGTTTAGGAAAACTATTGTTTTAGTAAAGGAACAAATATAGCTACAGTACTGAATTAAATCTGTAAAGAGAGAAATCTTCAACTTCAGTGTTTAATTTGCACATCAGTACAAGTTCTAAAGCTACAGGGGAGCTCAAAGCCAAAACTACCACCAACACATCTTAAAATACGTAAAAGGCAAGACAAGTCAATGATCATTGTGCAGAAATCTGGGTAGAGGGGAAGAAAGCTGCTATTGAACTGAACGGGCACAGATCAACGCTGGCCACATTCACAATGTAGAGGGATGTGCCTGGTTTTGCAGTGGGATGGCCACGCCCTCCTCATGCAGTCCGGTGCACACATGATCTGCACTTAAGCGCCAAAAAGGGAGGGAAGAAGTCAGGGTCATCTTAAATCACATACGAGATTGCTACCTCAAAGACACAGTTGACAGTTGCTGCCAGTGTGTACGAGCCATTACGAAAAAAAGCGAGTTATCTGCCTCTCACTGAAAACAGGCTGTCATACACACGGCACGTGACTAAATTTTGTGATGGCACACACTGGAAAAGCAGAATATGGAGAATGCAAAACTGCCTGACTCACACGTGCTTCTGGTGCAAAACACTTGATGCGATTTACTTCTCATAATAATCATATCCATTCTGTGAGATATTCTGATGCACCCCAGAATTCAAACTGAACGTTACAAACTGTATAGGCTACTAAAGATTTCATTTTTAACCACATATGAATTGTGTGCACAGTCACAGTTAACATCCCTCCCTCCACAGTCCCAAGCACTTGGGAGGTGCCCAAGGTAGAAGTGGTCAACCTAGGTTGCCTCAATAGCTAATGAGAGCTGGAGAGGGAAGTTCTTACATTGAATCATCTTCTAGAAGGCTCCCTTACTGTATCTATGGAGCAAAGAGGAAGTGTAAGGACATGTGCTCCAACAGGTAGTAAAAACACACTCAATTAATACTAAGTTACTACATGTAGACACAGTGGCTAGAGCCTTTTCCAGCCTAATAACAGCTAATTTGATTTTAATAAGAAAAAATGCCAATCAGAACCCTAGCCGACATCATGGATTATTATCTTGGAGGAAAAAGAACATCCTCCGTATTACTAGAGTACTTTCCTACTAAAAAAAGTTGATTCAAGAGAAATAATAAGCATCTGAAACAGAAATTCTAGATGCTTTTGTTCCTTCTCTGGTTAAAACACAGTCAAAAAGCAAACACAGTTGGACTCACAGCTTCTATGCCATAGCTCAAGCCAATAAAAATAAAGATGCGGATTTTCAAAAGCTGTAGTAGATGATGCAAAAGCTCAGTGTGTCCTAGCACGAGAACCACAGAGCTCGGCAAAAAAAAGATTTCGCAACACCACTTCACTCTTCTGGATGTGCAAGTAGGGACCTAAGAACGGGCTCCCGAAAAGCAAAGGCTTTCAACATGGTGACTGAACTGGTTCAAATTGAACACTTTGTAGTTTCTCTCTAATGCACTATAAATAAATACTAGAAAGTTGTATTTGAAAGTTTCCACAACAGGCTTCAATATAATACCACTCTGGTTTTGACTGGGAGTGGGTGGGTGAGGGTGTTGGTGGGGAAGGGAGGTCTACCAACCCTCCTTCAAATTCAAGAATGGTATCATGCTATAGTTGCCTATAGATTTTAAAATCAGCTGGCACCATGTTAGCAAAGGGTCATTGGCATGCCCTGTATCAGAAAACAGGAAATATAATTAAACAAACAGCTGTGAAGTAAGATCCTTGGCAGGAGAAAGAGAGCTTTGGGGAGAGAGTGGTGAGAGCAAAGCATATGAAAAAGTACAGTAACATGGTCAAGAGCGGGAATGAAGCACAGGGGTAGAGAAGAAGAAATGAGAGTGGGGGTGAGAGGAGACGAAAAAGCAGCACAAAGGGGTAAAATGACAGAAAAAGAAGGCAAAAAATACAGAAGAGAAGAATGTGCATATGGAAAAGAAACATCTCTTTTAGGAGTAATAGTTCTTCAGTAAGGGTAGGAGCATGGTTATGCAACAGGATATACAGTCTTCTGTATAGAAAGAGTTTATTTAAGCCTATATGGAACCTCAAAAAAAAATCTGTGGGAGAAAAGAGAGAGGGTAACATCATATTTCTTTCGACTTTTAAATTGCTTTTTAGGTCATATCTCACCCTCCCCTCCCACCCCCCAAGTATTTTCCAGGATGGAATTTTCTTCTTCCCACTCCAGGATTTGGCGTGGGCAGAGCAGCACAGATGCTGCTGAACTCGAAAACCAAAAACCTGATTCATTCTTCCCTTGAATCTTGTGCTATCATTTAGGCTGGGACCAAGCAAACGTCAAAGGCTGCAAGCCAGAAAGATAATTTCACACAGTTTATACAGTCACTCTGTCCCAGTGTAAAAGGGGTACAAGAGGAAGGCTAAGGATAAATCCAGTTCTGAATCTCTGCTAGTTCGTCAAATATTTGCTTAAGAATAATTATTTTTCCTCCTGTTCCAGCAGGAGTACACAGAGGACAGGTTTTCCCTAAGGGTAAGACTAACAACCATTTTTCAGCCTCACAGAACAAAACCCCTTGAAATGAAGACAACCACATGCAATCAATCAGCAAAGCCCTTCAGTCTCTTCGACCGTGTTCAACAAGTCCAGATTATTTTCTGCAAGTCTGCTTTCATGTCAGCCTCTGGTGCTGTACAATCACACTTCTGGGTATCAATTCGGTACTCAGAAAGGATTCTCAGAATAAACTGTAGGGAGTCATATGACATAAAAGACGCTGTCTCCAAGATAAGTAATGCAGTGTTCACATTTCTGAGAGCCGAGGCCACTTTCGGTAAGAAAAGTTCTCTGCTTACTTCATTTTAGACTTCAAAACAAACAAAAACTCTAGCATTTTAAAAGGTTAGACACATTTTTTACTCCCACTGTTTCTTAATAAAACACCATTTGTGTGGGAAACCAGCTTAGTGCATACTTTAAAAACAGGCAAACCATTAATTGATCCAACATGTTGGCAGTTTTTGAGAAACTCACTAGACAAGAACAAGCGATACATCAAGTTTTGAAACAGCCTGAGCTTTACTTTAAAGGTGCATAAGTATGCCAAGCTCCTACTACTTTATACTGCTTAGTAAGTAATCTGTGATACTTAAAGTACTGAGAAGCATAATCTGAACAGCTACTAAACCATGGGCAGGTTATAAACACAGTTCTAAATAGCTCAAGAGGTTATGAGTTGCTTGTCTCACGAAACCAATGGAAAATACCGAAAAAAAAAACCCATCTTCCACCAAGCTTACCAAAGAAACATGGATTTGACCAAATAAACAGTTAATCTCTTGAAGAGGCTGCACACAAGAGGTTCCAAAAGCACCACTTTTGCATCAGCAGTATTTTACCATTATAGTTAGGCAACAAATTGTTTTTCAGCACTGCCATGCCAGCTAGTTTACTGTGGAAGTTTAAAATGTCATTAGAATAACATCCTGTTTTGCAGCCTTTCTGTGTTTCAATGTACCCCTAACTCTGCTAAGATTCAACTGGCATGAAACAGCTGGGCAAGATTAGTTACTGGATGTAAACCAACCTGAGATTTGACAATAGGTGGCATTTTAGTCTCTATGGCATAGGCTGCTGGTATAAAAGACCAGTGATCCCTGGCAGAAAACACTGTCTCCAAATATAAATCCGGTGATCTGCTTTTAAAACAACGTTATTTCAGATCAAACTTTGTTACAAAAGCAGTGTTTTCTGTGGGCATAACCTGAGGTTTGGGTCATTTCTGATGACAGGATTTCTGCTCAGTTCTAGTCGATGAGCACATGTTGGGACCCAAGCACCCATGTGCTGACATTGTGAGCACGAACTCCATCAGAGCGTTCACCTAGGAAAGCCAACCCCCTCCAACCCCAGTTCTGGACAAAATATCTCATGTTCTCATCAAATCAGACACTCAGCATTCCTAGTTGATTCCACAGCTTTCATACTATCACAGGCAAGATAGTGGACACTGTGTTCTCTACTTTATTGCATCTCCTGATAAGCCTGCACCATAAACACTATGCTTCACTTTTGAATTTCTCAGTCGCACCCAATCCCACACGGCACCTGCCAGAGCATCATCAGGACACACCAAAACGTCGGTGCCCTACAGAGAACTCAAGGTCCCATCCATTCCTCCAACTAGACCCAAACTTTACATCTCCCAAACTTCTCACCCCTGGAGCACCAGTGTGGATCACTGCTGGCAGCACGACTACCCCTTGCCACAGCAGCATGGAGAGGTGCTTCACAGCCCCCAGGATGGGCACCCTGTGAGGCCTGCAGCCCACACTGCTCTCAGTCAGGAGGTGCAAGGACACCTTTCCCTCACCAGCTCCCACCCCAAGGATGTGGGGCAGCAGAGCAGGCCACCACGCACGGGAAAACGGGGTCCGTCCGCCTGCCCAGCGCGGACCTCGGGGTGCGCCCACGGAGAGCGGGGCTCACCTGCGTGGGGCATGGTGATGGTCTCGTTGGCGTTGCTGGAGCCCACGTTATAGATGACCACGGCGGAGGCGTTCTGGGCGGCGGCGTGGCGGATCTTGTCCTTGT